GCGGGCGGGGAGAGCGGTACGTTCCAAGGTACGTACTAAGGGACAAATCTTATCTTCTGGCCCACAGGAACACAGTTTGGATCCCAGTTTCTGATCATGTGGTCCAAAAAACATGTAAAAAGACACCTCACTCGACTGTACGCGTCTTTCGGAAATAATATGTAAGCCCCAAAATGGAAGCCATTTTGGATTTGAGGGATCCCTGTCGGCCAGAAGGGAATTTTTTACCTCAAATTTGGATCTTATGACCCAAAAAACATAAAAATTGACTTCTCACTCGTCACCAAAAGCTGGAATTGAGAATTTTTACTCCGGAGCCTATTTTTGGCCGCCATCTTGAATTTGCATGATCCCTTATAGTTGTGAGGGATTTCTGACCTCATATTCGGATTCTACGACCAAAATTACATAGAAATCGATGTGTCACTTGACATTGTGAGGGAGTTGTAACATTTGCACCCCGCGGCGGCGCATATCGGCCGCCATTTTGGCTTGGGGGGCCAAAAAAAACGGCCCAGCGAATGATTTTCTTTTCAGCGGGGATGTTTTCCTGAGGTGTTTCGCTGTACTTTTCCGCTCTCAGATATGGGGACTTTCATTTTCTTAATTAGATTTAGTTAAAACCCACTGTGGCCTCCGATGCGCTGTCTTGTTAGCGGCTCTGGTGCTAGCACCTAGAGCTGCTATTCCGGTCGGTCTCTGCCGTGTACGTTACCAATGGTACATCTACCATTGGTTAGAGCGCGCGTTGGTAGATGGGAATCGTCGCCATTTTCGGCTGTGGACCTTGCCATGATTTTATTTTAATTCATTGTTTTTTCTTATGAGCGAATGATATGTTTGTAGTGTATTTTTGGAATCATGGTGATACTGTCGATAATTCAAAACTGGTCTGTGCTTTAATCTCGTATTGAAAAAATGTACTTAACGTTTAAAATCTGAATTTTCTAAACGACAAGTTTCCGCGCTTTTTTGGAAGAATGCCGTGGTTGGAGCCTCCTAGTCGTACTACTTCATGGACGGATTCGTCCCTAGCGGCGTTGTTGTGTATTACTGCCTAAAATGCTAAGTCGGGTCCTGTTCACTTGATTTTCGTGAAACACGGTATCCAGCGGTATTTTTCAACGGGAATTTCGAATTTTTGGTCAGATTTTCAAAATTTCAAAATCCAAGATGGCGGCCGTGGCCTAAAATGCTAAGTCGGCACCTGTTTGATCGATTTTCGTGAAACTCGGTATCCGGCGATATTTTTCAACGGGAAACTCGAATTTTTGGTCAGATTTTCAAAATTTCAAAATCCAAGATGGCGGCCGTGGCCTAAAATGCTAAGTCGGCTCTTGTTTGATCGATTTTCGTGAAACTCGGTATCCGGAGGTATTATTCAACGGGAAATTCGAATTTTTGGTCAGATTTTCAAACTTTCAAAATCCAAGATGGCGGCCGTGGCTTAAAATGCTAAGTCTGCTGATCGTGGATGAAGACAAAGATAACATATTCGCCACTATTCACCATACTTCGTTAAAAAAAGTAAATTCGTTCTTACTAGGGGTCCAGGGGCACTCCCCGGCTAGGCGTGATAGCTCGCACAGCGAGCTGAACACGGCTAGTAGTTTATATATGTCTTGGATATGAGCGGCCCAGAGCCGCTCTCCAGCGGCAGTGCGCTGGAGTTACTGCTTGTTCCCTCTTCCCGTCGCGGTTGCGATTGCCCCCTCCGGAGCAGGTGCCTTCCATCTTTATAATATGTCGCTCACTTGGATCCAATTGGTGATGAATAAAACGAATCTCAAGCATACAGGGTGTTCGAAAAGTCCCCTCCCCCCCTCTAACTTTTGACCTAATTGAGGTAGAGATTTGAAACTTGGAGGGTGTTCCTAGATCAAAGGGAGCTACTTTTTGACCCCCCCAAAATTTTGGAGGCTCCCCCTTGGGGGGGGTTACGGACCCTAACTTTTTTTTCAAATGGGTAGACCCCCTTTGTGATACCTCGTTCGAAAGAGCATAAAAAAAGAAAATTTTTGGCGCAAACCCGAAGTCATTATCTCAAACCGTTTCAAAATGGCGGCCGGTCAAAGTTCAAAATGACCGAAAATTGGCACCTCTGCTATTTGCGCATTGATTTGCTTGAAACTCGGTATCAGCGGGTATTTTGGCACGAGAATAACGAATTTGACGTTATATTTTTTTAAAAAAACCTAATTTTTCAAAATAGCCGCCGGTTTAGGCTCAAAATGGCCGAAAATTTGACAAACTCGATTTCTTGCCAATGGATTCACCTGAAATTCGGTAGCTGGGGGTATTTTGACCTGAGAAGAACGAATTTGACGTTAGATTTTTAAACGAACCCTAATTTTTCAAAATGGCCGTCGATTAAAGTTCAAATCGGTCAACAATTGGCAACCTCGACTTTTTGCCGATGGATTCGCCTGAAACTCGGTGTTCGGGGGTATCTGGGTAGGAGGAAAACGATAAGCTGAGTTTCAGGCGAATCCATCGGCAAAAAGTGGAGGTTGCATGCCAATTGTTGACCGTTTTGAACTTTTTGGCCATTTTGAAAAATTAGGGTTTGTTTAAAAATCTAACGTCAAATTCGTTCTTCTCGGGTCAAAATACCTCCAGATACCGAATTTCAGGTGAATCCATTGGCAAGAAATCGAGTTCGTCAAATTTTCGGCCACTTTGAGCCTAAACCGGCGGCCATTTTGAAAAATTAGGTTTTTTTTTAAAAATCTAACGTCAAATTCGTTTTTCTCGTGCCAAAATACCTGCTGAAAGCGAGTTTCAAGCAAATCCATGTGCAAATAGCAGAGGTGCCAATTTTCGGCCATTTTGAACTTTGACCGGCCGCCATTTTGAAACGGTTTGAGATAATGACTTCGGGTTTGCGCCAAAAATTTTCTTTTTTTATGCTCTTTCGAACAAGGTATCACAAAGGGGGTCTTCCCGTTTGAAAAAAAAAGTTAGGGTCCGTAACCCCTCCCCAAGGGGGGGTCAAAAAGTAGCTCCCTTTGATCTAGGAACACCCTCCAAGTTTCAAATCTCTGCCTTAATTAGGTCAAAAGTTAGAGGGGGGAGGGGACTTTTCGAACATCCTGCATTTGAAACGCAGAAAGATGTTTTTTCGAGAAACTTAAATAACTCAAAAAATTCTAAACGCCGAGGAGTAAAGACCAAAAATACGGCAAATAAGTGGCAAATAAAAATCATTACTAAGAGAGAATGAAATAAAACCATTTTCTTTTAAAGATGTTCCATTAGATTCCATCCGATAAATAGAGTAAATTGAGGTTCACGAGGATGTAAATAACAATTTTCCAGGGAGACTCACTGAGGAGGGGAAGGGGGCCACGTTAGACACCCCCCCCCCTCCCGGATTGCGTACGGTAGACTTGCCCTGTCACTAAACCCACTGCACGCCACTAGAGTACCTTTATAGACAGAGTATGGTCATTTCTGTGCCGGTTTTTCATTGGTCGCGTGAAAATAAGCTGACACGGTGTTCTTATGGCCGTAAATAAACAAACAAGATGGCTGTTACCAGCAAGCAAGTTTGAGGTTATGCGTGTGCACACCTTACATCGTCTTGTGACACAGGCGAAAGGCGATTAAACCGTGTTTTCATAGATATGTTTTTCATCTGTTATTCGGAGATATGCATGCTAGTTTAAATTGTTACTGCTTTATAATTGAAATGTTTGTCAAATTTTAGCTCCTTATCGATTTTACGGTGAGCCGCCATCTTCTTTGTTTATTTACGGCCGTAAGAGCCTCACGAAGCCTAAAAACTCGTTGACCAATCAAAAAGTGGCACAGTTTTCCTGTAGTCGATACGAACAAGTTGTGGTAAGATACGAATGGCCATACCTACTCTGTGTATAAAGGTATTCTACACGCCACTGAGCAAAGTAAACCACTTGATGACTGATGGTCACCATGCAACAGCAGTCCTCTTTGATCAAAATTAGACGGCTCGTCCAATTTTCATCAGAATGGGGTGCCACCACTCATCAGTACCTGCCACAGGAAACATTTCTACCCACTTTTCATTTTAAAGTTAAGCAAATCAATGATTTTAAGACTGACGACTCCCGATCACATATGATGATAATTATTTCGGGAATTTGCTCGTTTATCGAAATCTGATAATTAAGGCTCACCGATGGTATTCTCCGAAACAACGATCAACATTCTCTGAAGGTTTCCACCCAGTAGTGCGGTTAATTTATAATGAATTGGTTAGTGACCTTTGAGTAATTTTAAATGATCAAAATGTCGTTTATTGATATTAAAAAGAACCTACCTATAAACAACATCGGTTCATTACAAAAAAATTACAAAACAAAAAAATCCTTGTGGCCAAAAATATATGGGTTTATAAAAAGCCGCGGCTAAAATTCTTACGATCAGCGATCTTTTTCCTCATTTTCCTTTATGCCCTCCAATCTTAGAGGAAAACGGCACGGGACCTTTTATGAAGACCGCAAAATTCTACTCATTGCCGTGTTAACACTGAATGTCGGATACTTTTGTTTTTACGGTGTAGGTACTTACTTAGTACCTACACCCGTAAAAGTTAAGAACTACATGTTTTAAAAGATGACAACGCTCCATTTTCAATTTGTCTTCGCTTTGCCTATCGCTTTCTTCATAAAATTCAATAGATATCTAATGAGCCCGTTGAGCTGAAAACTTGGTGCGTCGTATCAACGGCGACTCACGATTCGTCCTTGAAAGCGATGTTTTTCTGCAACATGTTTTCTTCAGTAACACGCAGCCCCTACTTTTCCACCCCGATCCCGCAGCCCACTCGGCCGTGTCTGGAGAGATGATAGGGGTGCCTTTGGAGGGTTATTGGTGGCTATAAGGAGGTTCGGGAATCCCGCGACGCCGGCAGGGGCCGTTGAACCCGCGCGGGCAGTTTCCATGGTGGCTCGGCGTCAACAAAGGGAATCCGCGCTCGCGACGAGGCGCTGGCGCTTGCCGCGATCAGTCCGCGTCGCCAGTTCCTGCTCCGATCGGTTCTTTGCTTCGCGTTTTCGAGTCAGACGTATTGTATGTTCCGCGAGTTATCCGAAGCAGTGTTCCAAAATGTTCGGTAAAAAGTAGTCACTGGATGGGGTCAATCGAGACCCACGGACGACAAATAGTGTAAGTGCATCGGGGACGTGCTGGGATCGCTCGAAATGAAACTATTTCTGCGGGCTAATTTGTTGGAAATGACACACAAAGCGATAGGCAAAGAAGGCAAAGGGAATACGGAGTTATACTTATCCTATCGGTGGCAGCAGGTGGCTGCATCGAACAAAGGAAGTAAGTAATAGACTAACAAACGGCAACCAGCGAGAGACCCTTTTGTTAGTTCAGAATTTTCCCTCTTGGTCCATTACAACCTCCCGTTTCAACCAATAGGATCGCTCCATTTTCCCTTTGTCTATCGTTATTTCTATCAATATTGCAATAATCAGCCCGCAAGCGCTTAATGAATTGGAAGAAAGGCTCAAAGAAATCATGATGAACTACAATTGAAATGGGAACCCATTCAATGAAAAAAAAAAATTAAAAAGTAAAATTAAAAGCGGTTACAAGTTTTTAAATTATAGTTGGTATGAATTCAAAAAAGATTAAGAAGTGTGCCCAGTCGAACTGACAATCCCACATCGCTCGGTTATACGGCATTCTAATTATCCGGCGGACATCAAAAGGTCATTCAAAGGACTTTTTTAGGTAACCCAAAAGCAGTTTTCACAGATTTTTTTTTTCATTATTTCGAATGTATTTCGTGGATTCTCAAGTATTCGGTGTTTTTAATATCTGGAGCCGGGCTTCATCACAGATCTGCCGTGATAGCGAAGAGAGCAGTAGTAAGTGCAAAAATGAAGTTTTGAAAAAACGAGCTCAGAAGCTTCTGACCGGAAAATTTTATTGATAAAAAGCCTCCGTTCTTTGTCAAATTACCACTAATTGGATTGCATTTTGCAAAAAGGAACCACTAGCGTTGCAATGTTGCTAAGATTGTGCAATTTCTTTTGTCTTGGAGGAAAAACCCGATTATCCCTTAATAGTTTCTATTTTACTAGCTAAAACTGTAAATTTAAGACAAAAATTACCATCTAAATTTCATAGTTTTTCACAATTTCCGCAATTGTATTGCAAAGGATGAAGTTGCACAATCTTAGCATCATCGAAATGCTAGTGGTTCCTTTTTGCAAAATGCAATCCAATTGTCCGAAAGACTCCTAGAAATTGTTCAGATGATGAAAAATCGACTGATTTTATTTCAAAGACATAAAAAGGGTATATTTTTCATTTTCATGTCAGGTTATTGTTAGGCAAGGCAGCCGCAAGTGCTACCTATCTTTCGCATGCTTTCGTGGTTGCGTTTTGGACACACAGCAAACGCATTTTCAGGTTAGAAGTTGGCAGAGAGAGGGTGGCACTTTACTTAAAAGCACTGTTTTCATTGGCTCTCTGGAGGAATATTGTCCCTTACTGCTGTCTTGCCTGAAACTACGTTTACTTACGGCTTTCTCATATCGACGGTGAAACTACCAAACCACGTATCTCGGTTTGCGACGTCGCAGACTTCCTGTCATACTTTATTTTTTAAATGAAAAACTACTTAACATCCAGTCTTGAAAATTTCTGTGATTTTTCCTCTTTGTGCGGAGAAAATTCCGTGAAAATTTCAAGGAATGATATTGATTTGGTCTACTTCAAAAAAATAAAATGTGAGCGTAGATTTTTAAACACCGCAAACGAGATACGTGGTTTGGTAGTTTCACCGTCGATATGTATCGTTTCTATACAATTAAGACGAAATTTGCTGTTTTAGCTATTTCAGTGATTTCATCTGAAAGAGATTAGACGAATTTTGAAGAAAACTCGATTTAGAAAAAATGCACTTTACTGCTCTCTTCGCTATCTCGGCAGAGATCAGCGGCTACTCGAAATTCGACTGTATTAAAACAATTTATTATAGACTATGATAGTGATCTGTTATCCATTAATCCTATGGAGATTCATTCATGTAGGTATTTAATACATATTGAAAACAATATTTTGAGTTTGCCGAATGGTGACGATGACCGCTAGATGATTAACCAGATGGCACCAAATTAAGTAACTGAAAAAACAAAAAAATGTATGCATAATCTGAGGGAAAATTTCTTACTTAATTAAAGTGCTGGAAAAAAACTGACTTAAAAGACAAATACCGATGACCATGAAAATTAAATGATCAGACAAAATTGATCATAAGTGAGAAAAAAATGAGGTAAAAACGGCGAAGTGTTCTCATATTGCCTCGATTTAAAATTTTTTCATTGCGATTGGTCATATTTATGTCTTTTTTCATTACCCCAGGATAAAAAAATAACTTTTGATCTTTCTCATTAATGGGTAAGTCATGTTGACAACTGAAGCATAGTTACCTACCTTACTTTTTCTTGCACTTTCGTGAGAAGAGTTATTATTCTGACGGAATTGCGCCAGTAGGGTATGGCATGCAAGATTCATCCATATAGGTCAGTCATTCCCGAAACCAAATGAGAATCTTCTGCGCATGACGTCAGCATTACTGCCGCGAAAACCAGAAATGTCGGAAACAATGATTTTCTTATGGGAGAGAGCAAATTTTTCTTAATGAATCATTTAAATTTCGTACTTTTAAATCCTTTGAAACTTATTCTGAGTGCGTCGAAAAGAACGTTTAGACATTAGCGTCCAGGGTTTAAATTTGGCTGAATTTGCGTTTTTATATTTTTAAATGATTTTTGAAGTCAGTGATGTAACAAGCCATCTAGTTAATGATTCTTCTATACAAAAAGATGTTCTAATTTTTAATGAGTCGAATGTTGATAAGGAAATAATAGGCACACAGTAGGCGAAAAATATTTAATTCATTTTTATGGAGGAGTCAACTTAACTCAAATTTCGGATGAGTGCCGCTTCATAATGTACTCAAGGAAAGTTGCTAAAATGTCCTTAAAATCTAAATTTGAGATAGCAAATCTTTCACCAACATCATCAGCGGCGAAACAGCACAGCTTTTGAGTTTACTATCAAATTCAAATTTTTGCTTGGAAATAGTTCTCTCGACCCGAGAGAGTGGGGATGGAGGGAAGAAGAGGGAAGTGATGAAAGAAAATTTCTATTACCTATTCATTCTACATTCAATTTTGCGCCTGATGATGTTACATAGATGAACTCCTTTAATTGTAAGTCTGATTGCGGCACAAACTGTAAATGTTTTAAAAAAGGGCTCTGTTGTTCAGCTATGTGTCGTAATTGTAGTGGCGTAACATGTAAAAATATATTACCAGCCGTCGAAGAATTTGAAGAGGACCATCTATAGGTTTTTGCCCGAAATAGTTTTAAGTATCATCTTGAACTTGCCAACGGCTAATTTTATGTGTCCATTTTTGTTATTTTATGTCATTATTGTTTTGTTACTATTAATTTTTACGATGGTTGCTTTTATTTGCTGCTCAATTAATTTTAATCTGAAAATTAACGAATGCCATCAGCAATATAGTACATCGCTTAAAAGGTGGCATTTTTCTAATTCATGTAGGCATTTTCTTTCGTATTAAATATTTGTTTTTGCTCTAATTTTTCGTAGAGCTGCGTGTTCTTTCATAAGTAAAACTATTAGGTAATTAAAGATATCCATAAATTTCCACCTCAATCTAATTCTATACTAATTTATTCTTCTTATTCAGTCATGTTTACTACTAACTAAATTTCAAAATGTTTCACTCTCAAAAAAAGAAAGGAAGCGAAAACGCGTCCAAGTGAAAACAGCTTCATTGAAATATAATGTAATTATTTATAGGCAAACATATTGAAAAATTCATGGTTTTGAAAGATAAAATTTATTTGCAGTTCACTAGAATGTTGCCCTCTTAGAATTGAAAAAAAAAAATTCTAGGTGTGGGCTTTTTGAGAAACATGCCGCCATGAAGCAATGAGTTGGGGCGGTTCTATGTGAGTGCTGCGTGTTACGCTGCGCTGCGCCGCGCTGAGCCGCGCTCTGCCGGACTTCCATCCCCCTCTCATCCTCACCGATTTGCTCCTACCTTAACTTCCAATACACCATTTGTTAGGAAATTGCGTCCTCTAAAAATTTTCATAGAAAAATAAATTTCATATTTTAATCGATAAGGGAGTTATTCCGATTTATTTTTTAAAAAAATAATTCAATTTCATAAACTTTGAATTTGTTTTAACATTTTCTTAACAATCTCTTGATAAATTTTGATGACCAATGGTTTTATTTTAACGTACGTATCAATACGAACAATTTAAAACAAAATTGAGGTGTCTAACTATAATAGGAGCTAAAGTTACAGCAGTTTAATTGGAAGGGAGGGTTTTTCAACTCTGAGGGGGGCTAGCAAAAATCCCTAGGGGGCTAGGAATGGGGACTTTTGTGAAAATACGCCCCACAGTGGGTATAATCAGTGGTAAAAATTTCAGCTTGTTACTAATTTGTTCCGCATAAATCCCTTCGTTTACTAGACTATTGTGAGCCCGTTTAAGGTGATTCGATGGACGCTATATTTTGTGTCAGAACGGCATGCGATAAATCGCATCAATTGGTTCCATTTTTTCAGCTACTCATCATTTTTCTCCAATTTTGAGATCGCAATTTTGTCGTCAGGAGACTAAAGCACTCCTTCACCAATTTTAACAAAGAAATTCAACGTATAAAGGCGTGGTTTTTTAGAGAGAAAATATCGCATTCGAGTGCAGTTTCGATATCAGTATCGAATGCTTATGTTTTCTCTAAAAAAAAAAAAAAAAAAAAAAAAAAAAAAAAAAANAAAAAAAAAAAAAAAAAAACCACGCCTTTGTTACGTTGAATTTCTTTGTTAAAATTGGTCAGTGAGTGCTTTAGTCTCCTGACAACAGAATTGCGATCTCAAAATTGGAGATAAATGAGGAGTAGCTGAAAAAATGGAACCAATTGATGCGATTTATCGCATGCCGTTCTGATACAAAATATGGCGTCCATCGAATCACCTTAAGAGGAGTCACTTAACGACCGCCCCCCGCTCAAGGACTTACACGACGCACTAAACCACTATGCGGTGCATACTAACACCTAAGCTGGGCCCGGGAAAACCCGGGTGCGCTTACCGAGTGCGATGGCGCAGTTCACCGAGTTAACCCGGCCTCTTTCGCCGGGTCAACTCGGGTTCTGTCGCCGGGATGCTCGGGGTGCTCGGGGTGCTTGACCAGGCAGATACTGAAAGTAAACCGAATCAACCCGGTGACCATAACCGGACTTCTACGGTCCTCCGTTTGAGCACGGGAGACTCGGTTCCCTCTCCCAAGATTTTCGGCGACCTTCCCCGGTTATTTTTTTCAGTGCAGGGTCGCACATTGAAAAGTCGGGTTTTTGACGTCATCCACCGCGGTAGTTTCACCCTTGGTTCCTTCCGCATTTCTTTCATCACTCAGGGAACTGGTTATTACTCACCGCGGAACTCAGATGAAAGCAAGGTGGAACAAAACCAAGGGTGTCACTAGGTACCGCGGTGAACAATGTCAAAAACCCAAATTTTCAAGGGGCGATATCTCGGTAAATGTTGAACGTAGGAAGTTACGGCTTGGACGGATCTTATTATTTGTTGGTAATCTACAAGAAGCAAGCACCAAACACGATTCTGTGACCAGCGCAATCGACCCATTGGAACAAATCGATCGAATTCAAAAATCGAGGATATCGTACGAATATTCTCAGTACCTACATATTGTGCGATCTGGGATGTCATCTTCAGTTCAAATTTTCAGTTTATACCAAACGACCCTGTTAAAAAGGTCCCATGGGAAAAATCCCTATGGATTCCCCATCAATATTTCCCATAGGGTTTTTGCCTTAAGTCCCCATGGGGGCTGGGCTATGCGAACCCAGGGCCCATGGGAGTGATGGGAATCCATGGGGATTTTTTGACAAGGTATGTATTATTAATCATTAATTGCAAAAAATTGATAAATTTATTGAATTTTTGATGAAAAAAATTATTCAATTGCGTAGCCACAAGTGTCGAAGACTCCACATGGCAAGTACCGACTTGCAAACTTTGACCTACCTATCGGGATTTGAACCTGGGACCTACAGTATACGAAACTAACACCCTACCTACTGAGCCATCGGAGCCTTTGTCTCCATCGGGCGAATTTACTAGGTATGTACAGGGTGTCCCAAAAGTCCGTACCCCCCCCCCCCANTTGAACGGTTAGAGATAGAAAAACGAAACTTTGGAAATGTTTCTACCTTAAAGGGGACCATATATCTTTTTGGGGGGGGGGGAGGGTCAAAATTTTTGTCCCCTCCTCAAGGGGGGGGAACGCGGGGGCCCCCAACTTTTTTTCAAATGGTAACCCCCATCTCGTGATACATCATTAAAAAGCGCATAAAAAACTAAGAATGTTGGCGCAAACCGCAAATCAATACCTTAATTTTTGACCGAGTTATGATAGGTCAAAGGTCAAATTTGACCTATTTTCAAAAAATCATACCTCCGGTTCAAATTATCGTAAAGAAAAAATAAAACGGGAAAATTTACCAAATTGTCAGTTTTTTAAAGTAAAAATCACAGAAATTACTTCAAACTAATTTTAAGGGGGGTTTCGGACCCCCAAATACGTCATTTTAAAGGGCATACGATATTCTTGCGAAATGAGCCACTTTCCCCTTACTTTTCCTCAACATTATCCTAGCGAGTTCAAAATTAGTTCAACATTGCGTTTTCAAGTCCCCAAATTTCGGGCAAAGTTAAAAAAAATGAAATTTAAATGGTTGAATTGAATCACCTTAAATTTAGTTTTTTGAACTTTGCCCGAAATTTGGGGACTTGAAAACGCAATGTTGAACTAATTTTGAACTCACTAAGATAATGTTGAGGAAAAGTAAGAGGAAAGTGGCTCATTTCGCGAGAATATCGTATGACCTTTAACATGACGTATTTGGGGGTCTGAAACCCCCCTTAAAATTAGTTTGAAGTAATTTCTGTGATTTTTACGTGAAAGTGCTTACAATTTGGTAAATTTTCCCGTTTTGTTTTTTTCTTTACGATAATTTGAACCGGAGATATGATTTTTTGAAAATAGGTCAAATTTGACCTTTGACCTATCAAAATTCGGTCAACAATTAAGAGATTGATTTGCGATTTGCGCCAAAATTCTTAGTTTTTTATGCTCTTTCACATGCTTTGATATATCACAAGATAGGGGTTACCATTTGAAAAAAAGTTGGGGGCCCCCGCGCCCCCCCCCTTGAGGAGAGGACAAAAATTTTGACCCCCCCCCTTAAAAGATATATGGTCCCCTTTAAGGTAGAAACATTTCCAAAGTTTCGTTTTTCTGTCTCTAACCGTTGAAAAGTTACNGGGGGGGGGGGGGGGGGGGGGGTACGGACTTTTGGGACACCCAGTATTAGTAATTGACCTAGGTTCTCACCATTATTGTGATAGTGAATACCTATGCGTGAGGCCTGATGGGTTAAGATTTTTCGAACCGTTTTTGAACGCTCAACGATCGCTGAAGATTTTTCATGTTTTTCAGACAGTGACGAGAATGGTGTTGGCTGACAAGCCGAATGGCGTGATACAAGTTATTTTCCTGTGTTTGATCACCACTTTTGAATTTCACTCCTCCTCCTCCTCCTCCTCAGACCTGCTTACGGCTCCCGAACAACAGAACGCTGAGGCAACTAATCTATTGGTGAGAAATATTTTGTATTGCCGTAGCCATCTCTCCATCAAATCTATAATATAGTGATAAATCGTTGAATTTACCTAGTTGAAAAATCGGATTTGAATGTTCTAATTGAAAATTTTTACTAGTGACCTACAAAACCAGCGGATTATTTTAATTGCGGTGGACAGAGCTATAGACAACGAAGACATAGGAAAAGTGATGCTATACGTTCTATTGGCTGAAACGGGTGATTGTTATAGGCTGAGGGGGAAGTAATGGACAAACTGTAGGGTCTCCTCTGGGTTGCCGCTAAATACTCTATAATATTTAAGTAGGTATACCACCTAACTTCTTTGCCCATTCTAACAATCCGCTTTCTCAAGTAGGATCGGTCTATTTTCCTTTCGTCACCTTTGTCTATTGCTTTTTCAACCAATTTCAATCAGCAACCCGCTTTTGCGAGTGCGTAAGTTCATTTGCGTGCCAAAAGAGAGCGCACAGTTTAACAATTATCCGATTTTGTGCCCTCAACGTGGCAGATTCGATTTTTAGTATAGTTACTTTCTCCGAACTAATATTCTTTGAATTTTAAACCTTGAACCGTAACTCAGGTGCGCCTGGTTCGATAATTTAGGATATACAGGGTGTCTCACGAAAAACGAGCCACCTTGAATATCTGCCGAACGCGTCGGAATTTCGAAAAACGGTAAAAGACGTGTTCGTTTATATCAAGGGGGACACCTTTTGGCGTATTCAACATTTTCCCAAACCGCGGGAGGGGCGCGGGGCGGGGGGTGCCCCACCCGTAAGTCGAACTTTTCAAATGGCACCCCTACTTTTTTATTTCAGAAATCAATTCTACGC